TTGATGACCATAAAGCAGTAATCAACCTTGACACATTGGTAAGTAGTGTTTTCTATTTTTACATACTGTTATATATCCATCCATCCATCCATCCATCCCTGCATCCATTTATCCATCCATCCAACCATCCATTCCTCCATCCCTCCATCCCTCCATCCATCTGTCTGTCCGTCCGTCTATACATCCATGCATTAGCGACTAATCTAGCAGTTCAGAACAAAATTTATTCACATTAGTCATCACATTTCCATTYGGTGTATTTACATGTAGTGCATTCATACAACATCTCAATGGTTTAACATTTTATGTCCTAACATGCTTCAATATTTGCTCATAACTAACCAACTCTCAAATCATTCTATTGCTAGGATAAAAGTCTACCATGCAATCTACCCAGTCTACTCAGCGAAACCCATGTGCAGTTGAAATCTTTATCAGGATTGAAGTTATTAAACAGTTCTCTTCAAGAATTGTTAGATATATAAGATGTAATTCAAGTACATCTACAATATAATGGTAGATTTGGCTAAGCAATGACTAGATAGAGGGATTTTATTTGGACCATGAAACAAAAGTGTATATAAGTGTCTGCTCCTTAACAATTAGACAATTAGATTTTATGGCCTATAAATATTTTTACAATATACAAATAAAATAAAATAACAAAAAGAAAATGTTTAATCATATGCAATAAACTTTAAATGATAAAACAAGAAGTCTTACTTTTATTTTGAATAGTGCCATCAACAGCAAGAATTAATGATGTAGTTTCAAAAGGTATGATATGATGATGACACGCTATAGTGCTATCAATAGGAAGAATTAATGATATAGTTTCAAAAGGTACGATATGATGATGACACGCTATAGTGCTATCAACAGGAAGAATTAATGATGTAGTTTCAAAAGGTACGATATGATGATAACACGCTATAGTGCTATCAACAGGAAGAATTAATGATGTAGTTTCAAAAGGTACGATATGATGATGACACGCTATAGTGCTATCAACAGGAACAATTAATGATGTAGTTTCAAAAGGTATGATATGATGATGACACGCTATAGCCCATGATTTTTGCCCGAAAATGGACAAAAATKACCTATTTTTCATCCTTCATAAATAATGCATATTTTTACAAAACGTGTGAAAATGGTCCAAAATCGATCAAAACTATCGTCTATATCCCATGCTTTTTGCCAGAAAATGGCCAAAAATGACCTATTTT